CAAAAATTTAATATAAAAAATTCGGTTTCTTTACCTTTAAATAAAAATAATAAGTAATATACCATTGATCGTTAATAATAATATGATAATAATTCAAAACGGACTAGAATGACATCAAAACTTGTTAAATCGATGAAAACTGAAAAACAATCTATTATCTGTTTGACACTGATAGAATCGAGACAAATAAAAACCTTGAAGCATACACTTTATCGATGGCGAATAAATTTTTCGAATATCGATCCTGGGATTTTTGAGCTCGCTAAAACCGAATCCGACGTCGGATATTGCAAATTCAAGATGGCCGATTCAAGATAGCGACCGATATTTAAGAGTAACAAAAATTGGATCTCGTTTAAGGAGTTTTTGAAGTCGTTTCTGAAATCGAATCCGACGTTGGATTTTACAAATTCAAGATGACCGATCCAAAATAGCGCCCGATATTGGGGAATTACCAACAATCATAGTGTGACCTCGTACGTAACGTAAAATCTCACTCTTCACATTATGAGGGGGGGGGGGTAAAAGTATGTGTTTCCAGCCTAAAAGAAATTAATTGACCTTGATATGACTGACACATAACCTTAAGAACAAGGTCAAGATTGAAAACGTCATATCCGAACGTAAAATTTTTCAATCTTGACACTTTTAGGTCAAAAGTATGGATTTTCAGTCCTAAAAAAGTTCGGTTTGACCTTAATAATAATCTTAACTCATGACCTTAAGAATAAAGGCAAGGTCTGAACCAAGGCAACGGCTGAATGTCCCTCGTTCACCTCTACCCCACACAGCACTGCAATATTGCAGTAATATTATAATATCGTAGCAATATTACAAAATCACAAGATTATTATATAATATTCCAGCAATATTATCACAATATTACAGAGTGATATATCAGATTACAATATCACTGGAATATTACTGCAATGTTACAATGTGACTATCGTATGGCAACATAGTGACAATATTACAACAATATTGCGAGATGATAAATCTCATTGCAATATCACAGGAATATTGCCGCTATATTCCAGCATGATAGACCACTACGTAATATTTTTGAATATCGCAGTAATACTTCAATGTGATATATCAATCTACAATATCGCAGGAATATTATAACAATGTTGCGGAGTGATATATCAGATTACAATATCACTGGAATATTACTGCAATGTTACAATGTGACTATCGTATGGCAACATAATGACAATATTACAACAATATTGCGAGATGATAAATCTCATTGCAATATCATAGGAATATTGCCGCTATATTTCAGCATGATAGACCGCTACGTAATATTTCTGAATATCGCAGTAATACTTCAATGTGATATATCAATCTACAATATCGCAGAAATATTATAATAATATTGCAGAATGATATATTAGATTACAATATCAGTTAAATATTACTGCAATGTTACAACGTGACTATTATATGGCAACATAGTGACAATATTATAACAATATTGCGCGATGATAAATCTCATTGCAATATCATGGGAATATTGCCGCTATATTTCAGCATGATAGACCACTACGTAATATTTCTAAGTATCGCAGTAATACTTCAATGTGATATATCAATCTACAATATCGCAGGAATATTATAACAATGTTGCGGAGTGATATATCAGACAGATTGAATAAATCAGCATTATAAAGTGAAAAAACGTTAGAAAAATCGATATAAGATGAAATTCGTGATTTCGACTGCAATGTTGAGTCCGCCATATTGAAAAAAAATTTAGAAAAAAAACTACCCACATATTTTTAAAGTACAAATGTTAATAACGCGATCTTTGTAGTTTCCGGTATAAAATAACAATTTTTTTTAAGAAATCAATGATTTTCATAAAAGACAGACTGAAGAAAATACGCTGTTTAGATCTAAATAGTCAAATTGTAAAAAGCTTACCCGAAAACTCTTAAAAAAATTATTCCCGAAAAGAATTATTAGCGATTTCTTTAATATCTGTTAGCTCAAAGTTTATAGTCACGCTATTGACGGTTGCTGTACTCAGTTTCAGAATCCTTTACTGAATAAGACAAAATTTTTTCGATTTGCGAGAAGTTCTTATTGAGAACTTCTATAAACATTATTCTTTATGCTATCATTATATTTATATTTCTATTATTGAAAATTGTCTTATACATATATACGTTAATATTACATCTGTATTTTTATTATAAAAATGATAATGATAAGATACTGATTTTAATAAAAACTTTTTAGCAATTATGGTTTATAGCATCTTACAAATCTTATAAAATTTATGATTTTGAAGCTATGATTACAGAAAATATTTGCGTTTTGACTTAACAGATGAGCGATATATCAGACAATATCACTGGAATATTACAATATCACTGGAATATTACAATATCACTGGAATATTACAATATCACTGGAATATTACTGCAATGTTACAATGTGACTATCGTATGGCAACATAGTGGCAATGTTACAACATTATTGCGCGATGATAAATCTCATTGCAATATCACAGGAATATTACCGCTATATTCCAGCATGACAGACCGCCACGTAATATTTCTGATTATCGCCGTAATACTGCAATGTGAAACAATTTATATACAGGGTGTCCCATTTTAATGTCACATCACAAATATCTCAGAAACACTGCGTTAAATAAAAAAATGTTTCAGACAAAAAGTTGTTTGGCTTGAAGGAGGACAAGAAAGCGATAGCATTTTGTTTATAAATGGCGCCACTTTTGAGATATTCACTGACAATCAATTTTCATAAATGGAGATCCAAATTTTTTATTATATTTTCTTTTTCTATCAATTAATTTGAACAATTTTTGTCTGAAACATTTTTTTATTTGGTTAATATTTTTTGAGATATTTAAGGAAAACTTGGTAACTTTTTCAACATTTAACTTACGATATCTCGCTAACTATCCGTCGAAAGAAAAAATAGTATTAGACTTTTTTACTTTACTTACTATCAAGAATATATTATTATAATAGTGCCTTAACTTTTGTTAACTTATCGACCTTTGGAAATTTCAAAATTATTAAATTAACAAAAGTTAGGGCATCATTAATATATTCTTGATATTAAATGGTGGTTACAACTTATGATTAATAGCTTATTGTAGAAGGCCCATGAGACTCGACTATGAATACCGGTCTTAATGTTACCTTGTCGGTGCCAGTGGCTCGCTTGGTGATTGGTTGATTGCTTCCAATCAAAACCGAAAGTGTTGGGCCACTCCATATACAGCGGCCAATTCCATATACAAATTAACAAATAGCCGGCGTATTATGCGAATAAAAAAATTAATACTTGTAATATTATTAATAAAAAAATTTTAAACATTTTTGAAACATTTTATAAACATCGTAAATATACATGTTGTCCTGCTTGTTGACCACTTGTTGAACAACCAATTTTAAGCCAGCGGTACACGGTGCTTGTTTTCGTGCTGGGTTGCTTGCTGGATGAAAATATTGCGTTGTGATTGGTACATTTCCGAAGATGGATGGAAATGCACCAATCAGAACGCAGTATTTTCATCCAGCAAGCAATCCAGCACGAAAACAAGCACCGTGTGCCGCTGGCTTAAGAGTCTGGCCAATGTTCTAGTTGGATATAAAATGGCTATTACACCTGTACTGCACCTACTATAATCTCGGTTTTTACGCGTGCACATGCAAGTGATAACATAACATCATTTCATCTTGGAAAAAACTTCCAACACAATAAGAGGACTATATATAAAAATATTTATAAAAATATTTTAAAAATGACTAGTTGTTGCATACCGGGATGTAGAAATAGAAGCGAAAATGGCTTCTATATGAAACGTTTTCCAATAAGTAAAAAACAAAAAATTATATGGTTGAAACAAATTGGAAGAGAAAACTGGAAACCGAAACAATATTCAGCAATTTGTGAGGTAAGTATGTAATTATATCAAATAATAAACAAAACATGTTTCTCATCTAATTGTATTTGTAAGTTCATTTTACTAAAGAAATGTGGGAAAAACTGCGACAGGATAGTTCCAAAAAATTAAAAGCACAAGCAGTGCCAACAAGTTTTCCTCATACAAAAGTAATGTCGGAATCTTTCGATGGAAAAATAAAGAAGCTAAAATATAATAAAAACAACGATGAAAATAATTAAATTATTATTAATAAATATTATTATTAAAATGTTATCGCGTAAAAATATTATTTTTTGTTAACGATACGACGTTTAATTATTTCTTAGAAATGAATTATGTAATTGTACATTATTTGCCTTATATTAAGCAAAGCAATTATAACATTGTTAATTTCCTTATTGAAAAAATGAAAGATATTGAATGTACTGCATTAAAAACATATCACAATTTATCCCACAAAATTAAAATTCGTTTCATTAATTTTAAAATAAGAAAAAGTTGTCACACTGGAAAATTAGGAAAACCTGTTTTTAATAGTAAAACCATGGGTATGCATTCCGTTATTAGATAAAATTTAATAATCATGTTATTACATATGTAATATTTTTTTAACTTTATGTAATATCAAAATTTAATAATAAAAAAATTGCAAAAATGTACTTTAATTTTCCTTTTCCTGTTGCTGCTATTCAAATATCCCGCATACTTTGCTATCACTAATTGGTGGCGCCATTTCGTATCCAGCCAATCAAAAATTGCACCACATTGGCCAGACTTTTAAGGCTCGTCTACAATAGCTGTAAAAGTAAGGCTGTAAGGCTGTAACGTAAGCTGTCAGCGAATGAAAATATTTCATTTCGTGTCTTGCAACCTTACAGCCTTACGATTGACCTGTGATTGGCGCCATCTATTACTATTTTTTTCACTCATTTGTGATTACTCGAAGACGAGATACGTGCGTTTCAGTGTTGTTACAATTCAATGGTTGACGAAGCACGCATAACATCGTGAGTTACGTGCGAGTAGAAACGGTGTTGTAAAATACTAATTGACATTTTAACGTTTCAACAAAATGGCAGAGATAAAGTCACGTCGTGTGGCACAAACCGAAGATTTATCCAACGTCGAATTTGAAACTAGCGAGGATGTTGAAGTTATTCCTACTTTTGATAGCATGGGTCTCCGCGATGAGTTATTACGCGGGATATATGCGTATGGTATGTGTTTTTCCCCACTATCAACCAACCTCAATTTTGTCACAGTTTATTAATTAAACTAAACTTGAGCATATTCACTGGAACAAAGGATTAAGTTACGTCTTTATTTTTATGTTACAGGCTTTGAAAAACCATCCGCTATTCAACAACGGTCTATTAAACCCATTATGAAGGGCAGAGATGTAATAGCTCAGGCGCAGTCAGGTACAGGAAAGACTGCTACTTTCTCGATTGCAATATTGCAATCATTGGACACGCAAGTGAGAGAAACTCAAGTCCTTGTACTGTCTCCAACTCGAGAACTTGCAACACAAATTCAGAAAGTTATTTTAGCTTTGGGAGATTTCATGAATGTACAGTGTCATGCTTGTATTGGCGGTACAAATCTCGGAGAAGATATCAGAAAACTCGATTATGGACAACATGTTGTATCAGGCACACCCGGTCGTGTATTTGGTAGATATCATATGCTAATCATATCACACAGAAATTATTTATTGTTGAGTATTTTCAAAAAAAAATTAAAGAGCATGAAACTAAAAATAAGCAACCAATTTATATATTAGTTTGGATTTCAAGCAACTTTGATGCAAATTATTATAGAAGAATTATTAGTTCAGTTTATTTGAATATATATATATATATATATATATATATATTCAAGTAAACTGAACTAATAATTCTTATATATATATACACACACACACACATATATGTGTTTTTAACATATATATGATATTTTTCTAGATATGATCAAAAGACGTGTACTTAGAACACGAGCAATAAAAATGTTGGTATTGGATGAATCTGACGAAATGTTGAACAAAGGTTTCAAAGAACAGATTTATGATGTATACCGATATCTTCCACCAGCAACACAAGTTGTCCTAGTATCAGCTACGTTACCACATGAGATTCTAGAGATGACCAGTAAATTTATGACAGATCCTATTCGTATACTCGTTAAGCGGTAAGTAAACTCTTTGTTCTCAATATTAATCTTGATTGTTCCCGATTAATAATATTAATTTATTATTCTCATCCTAGCGATGAATTGACATTAGAAGGGATCAAGCAATTCTTTGTTGCTGTAGAACGAGAAGAGTGGAAATTCGACACACTGTGCGACTTGTATGATACATTAACAATAACGCAAGCAGTGATATTCTGTAACACAAAACGTAAAGTGGACTGGCTTACAGAAAAAATGCGAGAAGCAAATTTCACTGTTTGTTCCATGCATGGAGATATGCCACAGAAGGAACGAGACAACATAATGAAAGAGTTTCGATCCGGTGCAAGGTATGACAAATATGAATGAAGGGAACAGAATCTCTAAAATATTTGTTATTGAACATTAAATCTTGCCTCATACACACGCTTTTGTTCCTTTTTACAGCCGTGTATTAATCACAACTGACGTATGGGCAAGAGGAATTGACGTTCAGCAAGTATCCCTTGTTATTAATTATGATTTGCCAAACAATCGTGAATTGTACATTCACAGAATAGGCCGATCTGGACGTTTCGGTCGCAAAGGTGTATCTATCAATTTTGTGAAAACCGATGACATAAGGATTCTGCGGGACATTGAACAGTATTACTCCACGCAGATTGACGAGATGCCGATGAACGTGGCAGATTTGATATAAGCACAAATGATCTATAATTATGCCCCGAACATGCCAAGTGCAACAGTTTTTTTTCGACATCGCGGCTAGTCCTGTTGTTTTTACATCGCCAAGTTGTTTAGCAAAATTGGCTGTTATTTTATCGGGAACAGTACACGTGATGACACACACACTTATTTAGTATTAGTTTAACTGAAAAACTTGTGACATATGTTATATTATGTGTAATTTATGTCTAGCACATAAACTCTTCAAGAACAATATATAAATATAATACGCGGAAAAAGACTTATTGCCCTCCTTTATATTATGTAATGATCATCTGAACCTAATTATTTATATATTACGAAATATATTACAATCGGCTACTCATTATATCTAAAATCATTGAAAATGTTCAATTCTATATGGGTATGCCTATGTGATTACTGTTAATTACTCGAAAAAAACGGCATAATATTTCTGAAAAGTCGTTGCTTTCTATAGTTCTTTATTGAAACTACACATTGCTTTAACACCATTTTTACCTAAATTCTATGAACGTGAATGCGCTCTCCCTACTCGTTATTCCTTTGATTTTCCCGTTTTAGTAGAAGCGCGCGACAAATCAGAAGAGCTGAAGCCGCGTATGCTCTATAGCTACGTACAAATAATCAATAACTGCTGCTACACGACTCAGATGGCAGTAGAACAACGTAGTGGTACACATTGAGACCCAAACCGAGGAAAAATGGAAAAACTACTCAACTGTCATAGATAATAGAGATTTCTCAACGGTATCACGATGAAAACGCGAAAGAGATACGACAACAGACTTGGTGAACGATCGTTCGCGATTGTAACGTCACAAGTGCATTATAAACATTACCCTAATTCAGATGGTACGTATAAAATACGTGGTAATACATGGAAATTTTGAACAGAAAATAAGTAAAAAGAGATAATATATATTATTTTTATGCGAGTAAATAAATAGTTAAAGCTTAATGTACATTTTTATACAAATCTGACTCACTGGTTGATTTTCGCGCAACAGTTTTTATCGTATAATGAGTAAAAATCGAAGAAAATCAAGAATCGAAGAAAAACGAAAAACAAAGAAATGGAGCAACAGAATGACTGTTCTATTCAAAGAGGACAACCTATGCGTCGCTACCCAAACGACTACAAGACTGAAGGACATTCATCCTCGTGTATGTATTTATACATACTTATACAACAAGTTTGTCAGGAACTCAACAAGATGCAATAATGTGTATTAATATCCCAGATAACAAGCACACGTCATTTTGATGTTGGACCCTACCATCATTTTCACTTTAGTAAAAATGACGATTTAATGTCAAATAAAGAGTAGACATGCATTATTCCGGATGGAGCAAATTCTGTCCTCCGTCCATCATTAGCTTCGTTTCGATTTGCAGTGAACAAAGCAATGACGAATCAATCGCAATACTCCAACACAGGAAGACCTACCGTGCGCATAGCCGTGTATCTGATGACAGGGGTATTCTTAATCATGGAAGTCGAGCAGAATGCGAGCGCACAGCAGATCTTCGCAATCGTACAATCCGAGGCCGAGCTGGGTTTGACGAGATTAGCTTTGGCGACCGCCACACCGGTGTTCGCGCTGTGGATGTGTTCGTCGCAGTTAGAGGTGCAGCTGCGTCCGACACACAAACCCATAGAGCTGGCCGCCAAGTGGAGCTATCTTGTGAACAAGTACAGCTCGCACGGATATGACTCCGACGAAGAGGAGCCCTTGTTGTACTTTCGCAGGAACATTTTTCTCTCGAGAGGAGAGGAGGAGCAAATCAAAGACACCAAAGTGCTCGAGCTCCTTTACGCGGAAGCTAGACACAATGTTCTACAAGGTGGGTACTCCTGATCAAACGCCGTCGGACTGATCCTGCGCCCACGTTACCTTACAAATCTCTGATCTCGAGCCTCTTTTCTCTTCGTCCAGGACGATATGCGTGCGATGGTCCTGCGCGTTACGCCAGTCTGGGGGCCTTGCAGGCCCGCATTGAGCTCGGGCCGTACAATGCGCAAACCCACACCTTGGCGTTTTTCCGGAGGCACCGTGGCCGATTCTTACCGCATCACCATGCATCCCCCAGCCTATTGCTGGGCCTGGGGCTCGGACTGGGGCTGGTGGGTGGCAAGGGCGCACCTGAGGCTCATCTTCTGGAACAGTATAAACGGATACCGAACAGTCACAACGGTGGCGCGGCTACCAACGCGAACCCTAAAAAGCTAATCAGAAAGTATCTTGAATTCTGCTGGAATTTACCATGTTACGGAGCGGCTTTCTTTCAAGGTCAGATCGAACGGCCAGTGAGGGGCCTCGCGTCATGGATCACCAATCGCGATCAACAAGTCCTCATTGCGATCAACACGTCGGGGGTGTACATAGTCGACGATATGCAGTGTGTAAGTTGTACAATCAACGGATAAAGCCGCGATTGTATTATATTATATCAATGTATCACTTGTTAATGTTTGTCCATCTCTTATAAATCTACAGAAGCATAAAAAAGCATGCATAAGATAAATAACGTAAATATCGCAGTAATACTTCAAAAAATGAAATATGGAAATTGAAGGAAAATAAGGAAATTGAGTTGTGTTGTTGATTAGCTTGGATAAACGTAGTTTATTAAGCTTTTAAAGCGCACATATAGTGTGTAATAACATTTGAAATATATTTATGCGCAGAGCTTGCTATTAGGACTTAAATACTCGGAATTGAGTTGGGAAATGGCGAAGCCTTCAGACGAGAACAATCCGGATTGCCTGCCTTGCTTATTCTTACAGTTTCCAGTGCGCGAGAACGGAGCACGCGTTTACAAAATCCTGCAAGTGTTCTCGAGACAGGTACACGTTATTTTTTGGAACGAACCACATGCCAGTACGAATCAGCGTTTTTCACCAGCGCAGTTCACCATTACAAAATGAAATATGATGAAGGATGATACGCGCGTTACAGGCGATAATGATGGACACCTTAATTTCCGGTTTCGCCGACGATTATCGTCTTCGTCAGTTGGCCGGTAGCGAAGGAAACAATGACCAGTTGTTGGATCATCCGTTAGCCAGTGCCACCGGTAGCTTTACGAACAAACTCAGCAAGTTCACCCTGGCCACTTTCGACGACGAAGGTAAAGATAAACGTGAAGAAAAAACGCAAAATTCTGTATTCGTATCGCCCCGTTCATATTTTAACATCGTTTCAGGTCGATGCATCGGTCAGATGGGTTCGTGGTCTTTTCAGTGAATATAATCCAACGATACATACCAGAAACGATAAATCACACGATATTTTACGTGACGTGACGCCAATGTATTTTCCCGATGATATCAGATAAATATGATTTTTCGTAATTGCATTCTTACGTCAGATAATACTCTCTGAACTCGCGCACACAATTCTCTTCAGCGCAAGATAATCAGTGCTTCGTGTCGAGCGATTGAATATGCGGATTTTCCTGCAAATGACCCACCAGTACTCTGTATCTCGACGACGTCGACTCTCTGTGTCGATTGAGGTACGTTTCCAGCAGGTACAAGTCGAAGCCAACTTCGTTGATTTTCGCCAGTATTCGTTCCTCCTCCGTTTTCGGTAACTCCGTAGTCTGCGCACAGTTGTGATTTTCACAGTCATTATTAGACGACATAAATATCCAAAATACTTTTTGAAGATACTTTAACCCTTTATATCCTAAATTAATTTACCCAAGACCTTATTAAATTTTTGCGTAATTAAATAACTCTTGGCGTATCATAAACATAAGAAACAGGAAAGTAAATTTTATGACAATTCAACGATTAAATTTTGACATGTCGGTACTTGTAAGTATCGACAGGAATGTAAGACACGGGAAAAAGGTTCAAGAGCGTATATATAGAGCGGTACTTTGAAGTACCGTCAGGATACAAAGGGTTAAATCTAAAAGACATTCTACTAGTTTTAGACGCCCCTTCAGATGTCCTTACGACGTATTCTAGATATTCTAGATATTCACACCGTCTCGGCTAACGATCATGGATAACGGAGAATCACTTCGTCAGGTGAAGTTGTTTCTCTCACCTGCGTCAACGTGGCCTGCAGCTTCTCCAATTCAGCAGCACGCTCTCGGATAGCGAGTAAAATACGATTAGCTTTCTCCACGGTTGACCGTTTGAAATCGTCCAAACATTCGTCGCGCAGCAGATAAGCTTCCGCTTTGCTAATGCGCGACGGATTGCCGATTCGCGCCAAATACGGTCCTAATGGATTCAACTCTCGCGCGAAGTCTCCTTGACTCGGATAACGTGGGTCCTCCTGTCAAACGACGCGAAATATATCAAATTATCATCGAGCCAATTGATTAACATGTTGAGAAGCAAATACAAGTTGTTTTGTAGACGGCGTGCGAAAAATATTCTTTATTTCATGTACCAACTACGAGTTAACTCGCATCGGTCTTTTTCTCTGGATGATAAGTATAAATAATTACCGTGTTGAAACGGGTCTACGGCAAGATTACACTTCTCGGCTGATTTTTCTTACCGCTATCTCTACTCCTCTCGTTTCGTAGCATCTAGGATACCGAAAAGTGCAACTCTCGACCGCAAGACAATTTTCAAATAACACACTGACTTTTAAACGGTGTCGAACGCATAAAGTTCCCTGGTTAGGTATCAGTATGGCAGTCAACATGTTAATCGCAACAAGAGACAACAAGGGTGTACAAACAAAAACAAACGACGAATACCGTTCCTAATTCCACCGCGGCGATATCGACTGCTCTATCTCTATCGAATAACGACACTGTAAGCTGCAAATTTAAATTTTCGTCTGCTCTCTCTTTCAGGAACGACGCAACCTCACTCTCGGCGTCTCTGATACACGACATAGAATGATCTTCGTCTTTTAAATGTTTATCAAATTCGTAGAAGATATCGATGTTTTTCTCCGGTGGCGCCGTTGGATTTGGCTGCGAGCATGGAATAAATTCAACTTATACTGTGCGTTTCGATGTACACGCGTTTCTGAAACGATTTGAATGCATTTTTCCGATAAAGATAAGGAGATACCATGTTTGAAAACTTTACCAAGAGTATATCGACTTTTTGTACAATAAACTTTATAATATACTTTCGATAATAAAATTTCTCCAAATCTCAGGATCAACTGGTGGGTATACCATACCAGGGACTCTGGATTACTTTTCATGACGACGGATACGTCGCATACAGGGAGTATCATCAATTAAATATGAATTAAAAATTAAATATTCACTAATTGAACACTAATTGAATACTCATCAATTGAACATTAATTATACGTCGATTAAAAGTTAAAAAATATTCATTAAGCAAAAAAATTAAAGAGGTACATTGATTAAAATCAAATCAGTTTAAATTAGAAAGATTATTTCATTAGAATTAATTACGTAAACAGAAAGTGATGTACATGTTTTTCTTATCTAATTAAAGTATATTATAGCCATGAATGAAGTTGAAGATAAGAGAATAAAACGGTATCGAGAGACGTCTGTCGACTGTTGCTTATGTCATAACCAATTACCATTTGGTGAGCAAGTGAGCTTAGTACAGTCATGATCATTCGATGCGCACTTCTGACCTCATTTAAAAAAGAAAAAAAATTCAAACCGTTTCAACAAATGGATATAGAATTAAAGAGAAAAAGAAACTCACATGATATCCGCGAATCATATTAGAATCGAAAACCAAACGATCTCCCCGATCTGCTATCGATGGTTTTACGAATGTACGAGCGGCTCTAGTGCTCTGGCCTTTGTTATAATGAAATTTAACACGTATCTCATTCTCGATCATCATGAATTCTCGGATGGCTATGTCTCTATAAGCCGGAATCTTCTCGTCTCTATGATACTTCTCGACCATTTTCTGCAACATGCGTAAAGGCTCGACCATATATCTTGCTACAGCATAATGAAAGATATTACTATTACTGGCATAGAAGATACATTACGGTGATACGTCGAAAATGGATATTGTCTATCGTCGAATCGCTTGTGTCCGTCGAAAACTCAGCGTGTCTGTTAAAATAATGGAAAAAATGGCAATTATTTCAATTAGCAAGCTTAGCCACAATGATGATCTGCACACATATCGTTAAGATCAACGCCCTGAATAACATGCAAGAGGTTTCAATTTAGGTTTCAATTATGTGTTAAAAAAATTATTTAAAAAATTAAATAAAAAGAACAATTTTCGAACAACCTGTAAGAACGGTGGGTAGTTGTATCACGACCTACCATAGGAATTGTCAATATATTTACTGCCGCTTACTACAGATTTCGCTTACCTACTGTTACTTGTTGCTACCTATTGTTAACACATTCAGAGAATTAAAAAAAATAATTGACGTATCACTAATAAAGATAGCAAATCAATCACATGTATCTATCTCTTTAAAGAATCACCCTAGTATATGTTATAAAATATATTAGATTCTTATCACCAATAAGATATTAAAGACTGATGGCTCTGGGTTATCAATAAGGTAAAAATAAAAACTGTCAATCTTACAAGTTTAGAGTATACGAAGCATTATGCTATTTAAAAGCATTCTGCTTTTAAGTGGATAAATTCTGCCAAATAAATGTAAACGATCTTTATTAGAAATTTAATATTGATAAATTAATAATTTTTTAATTACTTATTTTATTAACAGTATTAAAACAGTATACTGTTACTATAGCAATCCCACTAAAAATTAACAAAATAAACAGCTTACCTGTAATAAAGGAAATCTTCGCGATCCACATAATGCTGAGTTAAATGGAAGGGATCTATTTCGATTCGTAACAATCCATCGAAGCGCGCATTGTCATAAAAGTCTATCATTCTCTCGCTGTCTATCGCGTCAATGCTATGTGCAAGATAACGATGTGCTACCAATATTAATTCATGTAATTAATATATATATCGTTTTGAAACTTTTACAAATACCAAGTTCACAACTTTGCTTTAAGCCGTAAAGAAATTTCTGCTCAACTATAGACGATTATTCTTGCAATAATGAAATCTCATAACTGAAAATCTGAGTCTTATAACTAAGAGCGAACCCTGAAGAGAGACTGACACTTCTTTCTTTTCGTTCGAAAAAATAATATAAGAAATAATAAGCATACATGATATTGGATATAAATATTAATTTTAATCATTATTATATTAATTACATTATATTCCTCAAATTCCATAAAAATAGCATTGTAAGACTTAAAGTGCAATAAGATATACCTTTGCAATGATCCGGTCGACTTTTATCGAACGAATCCGTAATTATACTTGTACCCACATCTCTTGTAGATTCCACGAGACAATCGCTTCTATTTAAATATTTTTCGTAACATCGAACAGGCGAAGTATACTGGTAATCTTCATAAATTGTTACTCGTCGCACCAGACCGTCCGTACGAACGTATGGTGCAAATAATTCTACTTTGGCTTTTTTATAAAATATCGTTTTATTGCCGTTTGGGTATCGCCTTTCAAAATCTAAAAGAATAAATACATAAATTATAATATACGAATCATCTAAAAGAAGTAAAAAAAAATATATACATACATCACAAGTAATCAATTTTTTTTCTTGGACTAACAGATAATCCAATGATACATATTACTGGTTTTGTGCTGATTTTGTTGATTATTAATTAACTTGAAAAAAAGATATATAATATGTAATACCTATATTGTGAATCCGAATTTCACTCACGTACGAGGCCGGCATGTCTAAATGTTTATTCTGTTCTATAATATCCTCCTCGGCCATCTCCGTATCGTTCGGCGCTGTCCATGGTTCGCCGGGAAGCAAGTGTTCCCAGAATTGAGTGTTACTTAAATCCCAATCAATTTTCGCACAGCCGTTTACGCGAGGTTGCATGTTCACCCAATAATTCTTATCATTCCAAACGCTCTCCACCCCGAGATATAACAAATTGATCTCGTCACCGACTAGTCGATAAGATATTCCAGAGGAAGGCTCGATGAAGATTGGCTCGATGATTTCTTGATTCCGCATACCTTTATCTCCCGGCAGAATCGCCACCCACGCATGTATCCTGTGGCCAAAGTATTTGTCCGGCTTTGGTCGCTCATAATCCTGAAAATAGTCGTAAGATGGTATTGAAACGATTGAATTATAGAAATCATAGATATACATTGAAATAATTAGTATAATCATGAACACAGAAAAGTGATTTGTAACTTCTTGTGTGAATTTTGAAATGTATAAACAATGTTTCTGTCTTATCTAATGGGAGAATTATCCCATTTTCAAAAATAAAGCCTTCCAATGAACAAAATGGATATATCCTGAGACTTAAACAAACAAAAGATAATGAATATGAAAGATAATGAACTATCTCTATCTGCAACTATCTGTACTCTATTTCTATCTGCAATTGTACATTTAGTTTCAATACAACTTGAATGCTTTCTTCAGTACAGTTTCAAGTAGGAAAACTTGTTGTACCCTATGGTATATCAAATGAGACAAGAAAATTTTTTCGAACACGAGTTCCTTATCCCGATTGTCTGAGTTCTATTTTTTAGAAAGCTCAAAACCTAATTCCACAAAAAGGACTCTCAGCATAAGATTGGAGTTTATTCTAAAAAATTACATGTATAAGTAACAATAAAAATATGATTACTTTATTACTACATAGTTAACTACATATTCAAAATGTATAATTACGTTACCATCACTATTATGAAAAAGAAAAGAAAAAGAAACGTCATTACTAAGTTGTTTCTGGAAAGAAAGTAACTTGTAATGACAGTAACGTTTAAATAATTATGTTATTTTTTAAGTTTGCGTACACACAACACCGCAAGTGCAGGACGAAGGGAGCAAATTGAAACTTTAAAAAAAATAAAAGCGATCACACTTTACATTATTTATCGATCCATGAAAAGAAGAAGCTACGTCTAATAAAAGATGGAGGAGGGAGGATTATTAGACGTAGCTTCTCTTTTATCGAAACATACTCACAGCGATCTTTTTCTGTCGCTCTTCCTCTAGCAGCCGTAGTTCGTCTATCTTTTTGCTTTTCTTACGTTCTTCTAACTCCAACAACAATTGACTTCTAAAGTCCAGTGGTGGTATCAGCTGATACTTAAAGATCTCGGACACGTCGATCGACGAAGGCAACGATGACGTCTGCTTCTCTTGTTCTGGCAGATATGGACAAGGTCTTTTGGATAAGTCACATAGTATCTGTTCACGAGATGCATAACCGCTCACTACTACCGCGTTGTAACTTTGTCCTAGCAATAAACCAACCAAGAGGGTAGCACATTCAAAACTGTTGCCCCTTTGGAAGTTCATCACCCACGTAGGCGAACGCAAATGTGGCTGAAAGAAGAATATTACAAGTAAACAGTTTTGTAATTGTAATTATGTTTATAGTTTATAAAATTTCAAGATTGCATGATTGTTCGGAAGAGTATACTCAATATCTATATCCTCACGTTTACAACCAATGTGTTTTGAAATGTTACATTAGATCGTATTTATTAGAGAAGTTATTACAGCCCTTATAGATACAACGGTCTTGATATCTTCGTTATTAGGTGGCGGATTCTAGGAGTCTGTTCTTTATAGCTGTACTATTGAACTAGTGCAATAAGTTAAAATGAGACAACTATATTTTTTCTCATTCTAACTTATCGCACTAGTTCAGCAGTGCAGCCATAAAGACTAGACCATATGTTATATTATATATGTTATATTATATATATTGTTTGTGGAATTATTAGTTTAGGAACTCGCCGTACGCGCGGTGGCGCTAATATGCGCAATACACAATAGCCGCCATTTGTTATAACGACTTTTTACTTTCGAGTGTTTCGACACATTTCTGAGGTACATTTTAGTTATATACATTTCCTCATTCTTCTTCGTCGTAGTTGTTTATAAAATGTGATATCAGGAATCTTTTATTTAGTTTAATCTATCTACATAAACACGGACAGATGTTGATTAACACATGTTCTATTAGGTATCCGACGTTACATTCCATTTGGCGACCGCGTCGACACGAATATCATACCGTTCGTGTTTAACATCCAGAAAAACGAACAATAAAATACTACTGGCGTTTTATCACATCAATGGAACTTAGCCTCTGTAGAACGCCTTGAAACGCGCATCTCCAGTTCTCATATTAATATTTTCCAATAGTTTTCATCGATAAGTCAAAATTTTAATCAAAACTAGTACCGAAAATAGTATCGACGAAATACTGTTAAAAACCGCCAGTCCCGAGTAGATTTTCATAGCCTCCAAAAAAGTTTGGAAGCACGCAGAGCTAATTAAAGAAAAATGATACGATGGGCCATTTTTATTATCCAACATAAATATTTGCAGATTCGGTGTGTGCATTATTAGTACATATTATAATTTTATAAATCACAATTATGTCTCATTGTTCATTAATATATATATAGAAATATCTATAATGAAGATCATTCAAGTCCATTATAAATTGTTATGAGACTAAGTTTTTGAGGGTATCATTTATGATAACTGATTTAACATAAGATTTGCCAGCAAAAGGTTACTGAGCAACATGTTACATATTTCATATATGCTAAATTCAATAAAGCTTGTCTTTATTCTTATCTCGTCGATGTTAAAGATCTATTTGATCGCTAAACATAACAAGAGTCATTGATATTATCTT